AATCGTCCCCGGTTGAGAGTTGTGGCGAACTCAATTCTCGAACCGGGCTCTGATACCAGATGTTAGAAACAAAGTTTCTAACGGGTTTGATATTTGGGGATTAGGGTTTATACGAATAGAATTAGGGATTGAGATTGGGGATTTGGGGAAGAACAGAATTGGGAATTAGGGATTTAGAAGAGGAAATTGGGGATCGAGGAGAAGAATGGCCGACGGCCTAGGGATAGGTGACGAATTTGAGAGAGATTAGGGTTTGAGATACGTTTCTGAATAATTGTTCTTGCTTGATTATGAATAAAACGCAAAGTACATATTTATAACGAAAGATAGGAAAACCTAATACTAAACCTAATTCTACTAAAATACTACTAATCATATTTAATAAAACCTAATAATAATGATAATATAGAAACTCGTTTTCCTTAGAAAACGTGTTTCTAACATTCCTCGGTGGCTGTTGCCACGACGAATGGAGTCAAGTCTGGTGGTCTGGTGACTTCGGCTGCGGTGAAGACTTAGAAGATGCTTGATTAGTTTCTGATGATTTTATGCTTAATAAGGAACTCATGCATGATATGTCGGCTACTTCTTCCTTATTCTTTGAGCTCGAGATTTGGGTCCCCTCCTCGGTGTGTTAATTGTATTGAGGCTAAAACCTCTCAGTCATCATTCTCCTCCAGTGATACTATCTATGAATCCCCTTTTGATTTAATTCATACAAATTTTTGGGGCTCGTCTCCAGTTATGTCTCGAATGGGGTACCGTTACTTCGCTCTATTCATCGATCATGCACTCAATTTGGCAAGACGATCAAGGTTATTCGTTCAGATCCTGGTGGGGAGTTTAGCACACATCCGTTGCTCGAGTTCTATCGTTCCCATGGTATTATCTCACAACAGTCATATCCCGGATTTTCTCATCAAAATGGATTGGTTGAACCGAAGCATCGACATGTGCTCGAGCTGACTCGTGCTCTCTTACTTCAGTCACACTTTCCCCGGGGCTTCTGGGTTGAGGCAATCGCAGCTGTTGTGCATGTGATTAATCGACAAATCACATCAACACTCAATGATCAGTTTCCTTTCTTTTGTCCCTTCTCCAAACAGCCCAACTATTCCTGGCTGCGCGTTTTTGGTTGTGTATGTTTTGTGTATTTGCCGAAGAAGGATCGTCATAAAATTGAGTCAAAGACGGCCAGGTGTGTTTTCTTAGGCTACAGTGATCGCCACAAAGGATACATGTGTTATGATCCTCAGGAACGCCGTATGTGTATTTCTTGTCATGTCGTCTTCCTCGAGCAAGTAATGTACTATTCTACTAATCCCGATGAGCATACTCCTACACTGGATTTTCTCCTTCCTTTGCCGAGTTTTGATGTTGACCCGATTTCTCATGTTCGCAAGTTGAGCCTATTGGTTCAGATCCTCCTTCTCCACCAGCAACGCCAGTCTCGTCCCAAGCTTCACTCTCGCCTAGATCTTCCTCTCAGGGCTCTTCAGGTGCGAGTTCTAGTTCTTCCTCAGCTCCCAGTTTTCCCGACTCTCCTGCCTCACCTTCTCTGGAACCTGTGTCCCCTCCACCTCTTCACCGCTCCAATCGTAGCACCTTTCGTCAAGCTCCACTTCGAATGCAGGATTACGTGGGTTTTTCCGCCGAGCCTATTTTTATTCCTAGCCACTACCGGTTTGCTGTGGGACATCCAGAATGGGACGCTGCGATGGCCGCCGAAACCAAGGCCTTGGAGCCGAACCATACCAGGGACATAGTCTCTCGTATTCCGGGCATTCATGTACTGGGGAATCGTTGGGTATATAATATTAAGATGTTTCTGGATGGCTCTATAGAGAGGCATAAGGCTTGTCTTGTGGCACACGCTTTTCGACAAGAATTTGGCATAGATTATGACGAGACGTTTGCTCTGGTGGTGCGGATGCAGACGGTACGGATTATTTTCGCGGTCGCTGCTATGAAGAGTTGGTCGATGGTTCAGTTGGATGTGAAAAATGCATTCCTTCATGGTGTTCTGAAGAAAACTATTTATATGGAGTGTCCTCATAGTTATGACAAAGGGGAGAAGGATGTGATCTGTAAGCTACGGAAGTCCTTATAGAGTTTGAAGCATGCGTCGCGGGCTTGGTTTGACAAATTTCATGGTTTTATTCTGCAGACTGGCTTCACTTAGAGTACGAGTGATCCCTCCATGTTTCTTCGCAATACTGTTCATGGTATTGTGGTTTTGCTTTTTTACGTCGATGACATGATAGTGACTGGCAGTGCTAAGGACAGGATCAAGGAGCTCACACAGTCATTGCACTCGGCTTTTAATCTGGAAGAGTTGGGTGATGTGTCATATTTCCTGGGATTGGAAGTTACTCGATCGGTCAAAGGATATCATTGACCTGCTTGACACTGCACAGTTAGTTATTGTCGTCCATGCTCAACTCCAATGGAACAGAACTTGAAACTGAGCAGAGATAGTGGTGAACTTTTATAAGATCATACTTTTTACAGAAGTATCGTTGGCAGTTTGATTTATCTAACTCACACGAGGCCAGATATTACTTATGTTGTTTAGAATGTTAGCCAATTCATGGGGGCTGCTCGGACTGCTCATTTTGATTCGGTTCATCGGCTGCAGTACTTAAGGGGCACGCATGATATGGGTATGTTTTTTCCCGCTGGCAATCACACAGCATTAGAAGGTTTTGCAGATGCAGATTACGCAGAATGTCTCAACACAGGCGATCAACCTCAGGATGGTGTGTAAGGCTCGGCCGATCCTTTATTTCTTGAAGATGCAGGGAACAGGATAAGGTGTCAAAGTCTTCGACAGAAGCAGAATATCGTTATATGTCAGAGTTAAGCACGGAGATGGTTTGGCTGCAACGATTGCTAGATGAACTTGTTATTGGGTGTCCTCGTACGTGGGCACCGGGCCGTGCCGCCCACGGGCTAGCACGGGCACGAAATAAATAGGTCAGCCCGGCACGAGCACGAATAATTTATGGGTCGTGTCGGGCCTAAACTTCATGGGCACTGGCACGATCACGGCACGGTATATAAGTGGGTCGTGTCGGGCCTAATATTTTCGAGACTTTATTGAGTATAAGAACGGACATGACACAAAAATAATATTTATTTGATAAGAAATAAATATAAAAATAATTATAGGTTCAAATATTACAAAACACAAGTAGAAAAATAATTATTTATTGTTGTTAGAAGTGTCATAAAGATATATACGTAATTACTAACATAAGTAAATATGAATAAAGAATTAAACAAAGTCAAATCACACTCGCTATACTTCCAATTTTCTTTTCACCCTTATTTGTTACTTTTCGCAAACATTATCGGTTAATACTTTCTTCCCCCGTCCAATTTTCACCTTCTTTTTCATTCTCTCTTTTGTTTTCGTCCTTTTCATTAAACACGAGCATGGCACGAGCACGAATAGGCACGACACGATTCGAGGCCGGGCCTAGCAAAGTTAACAAATGGGTTTGCATGGCACGGCACGAAAACTGAAGGGCCGTGCCAAGCACGTCATGAAATAAATGGGGCCGAAGCATGCCCATGCCGTGCCGACCCAAGCACGGCCCAGCGCCCATGTACAGGTGTCCTATACCAATGAGGATCTATGGAGACAATACCAGTGCTATTCAGATAGCCCAATCCTGTGCTTCATGACCGGACTAAACATATAGAAGTCCATATTCATTACATTCGGCAACTGGTTGCAGAAGGCAAAGTTCAACTGAGTTACTTGTCTACAGAGGACCAGATTGCAGACTTGCTAACAAAAGTTGTGGCATCCAGTCGTTGTTGGTACTTGTCTTGCAAATTGATGTTGATTACTCGGCATCAATTTGAGAGAGGGTGTTAATTGTAGAAATTAAAGTACCAAAATGTAATTAGCCTAAGAGGCAGTTCGGCTGAGGCTTGAGAAGCTAACCTATATATTCCTCATGTAAACTGTTAAAGAGTATTAAGTAATACAAACCCTAAAATCTGTAAGGGAGATCCTCACCGTAAACTAGTGTCATAGTGATCAAACCACATTAAAAAAACATTTGGCGTTCTTTTAACTTTCTGCTAGATTGACACATTTAAGTTTTACGTTTGGTAATATATATACAATAAATAATTTATGCGTCAAAAACAAAAGCAATATCTATAATAACGTTTCTATTCCATTTAAGATGTTAACAGTTTCGGCCAAAGCATAAGTTTGTCTTTCTCTGTCTCCTATAAAGTGCATCTATAGTTGCAAGTAATCACTTCCCGATAGAAAATGAGAGTGGTGAAATCTGAGATCATGAATCTACTTTTGTTCTTAGTTTTAGCCACAACATTATTAGTAACCGGTACATGGAGCCTCCCGTTGAATAATCTCATTCACAAATCATCAAATTCGAGCAGCAAACCCTCGATAAAACGGCGTCAGTTTCCTCCAGACTTCAAGTTTGGAGCATCAATATCTTCCTACCAAGTACATTTTCATTTTCGTCTTTGATGAAATGGAATTAATTTATTAACTAAGTTCTTAATAATTTTTCTTTGGTCTGGGAGTTGGATTTGTTAGCATGAAGGCGCCACTTGGGTGGATGGTAGACGTCCAAGTATATGGGATGCTTTTAGTCATGCTCATCCAGGTAATTTAATGAAACAATTCATCGACGCTATTCTGAGGATAAAATAATCAATGCTAAACATTTTTCGTCCCTAAATCAATAGCAGAGAATGATGAGGCAGAGGGAAAGATATTTAAAAAATCATAATAATTTTCTCATAATTAATATGGTTCTCGCAACATGTTGGTTAAATGACAGACAGAATACGAGGTCGAACCAACGGCGATACGGCTACCGATTCTTACCACTTATACAAGGTACGTGACATTAGCGACGAACTATGTGTTAGGCGACTACTCGACTAGAGGGAACTAATAACTAGAATTCATATTATACTAATTAGTTGAAATGATTTAATGGTTGTAGGATGACATAGCGCTTGCCAAACAACTTGGTTTGGATACTTTCAGATTCTCACTCTCATGGTCCAGAATATTGCCATGTAAGTCGATCCTTATATAAATTTAATCTGAAACTTTGATATGTTAAACCTAAGTTGATAGAGTAAAAAAAACAATTTGACCAGATAATAAATTAACTATCGTTTTGATCACTTTGAACAGATGGGAAGCTCAGTCGGGGTATCAACCAAAAAGGAATAGACCATTATAACAACGTTATTGATGAGGTCATAGCACAAGGTTCCTACCTATAATTATTTTCTATTTTAATCAGATATCCTAATTAATAGCTTGTTTTTATGCAACTTATTACCTTAATCAATACAATTGAATTAGCTTAAATTTCACATTAATTTATGGACTATAGTAAAATGAACAAAAGTGAGTCGGCAATTTCTTTGCCCACAATCAACAGTAAGGTGGCAAAAAAATTATTAGGTTCGTTTTGTTCGTCAAATCGATGCAAATTTCAAGAAAGTATATGTTATTGATTTTCATGACATGGTGATTCCCTCATTATCAATAATATAAATTACTTATTCTCACAATTGATACCCGAAATATTTTATTCTATTTGCGAATCTAACAAGTTAACCATCTTTGTGTAGGATTGACGCCATTTTTGTCACTCGTGCATTTGGATTACCCTCAAATTTTGGAAGACGAATACAGCGGATTTCTAAGCACTCGCATGGTGTAATTAACCTCAAACCCCCGCCAACAAACCGCTACATAAAGAAGTCATAAACCCAATAAATTATCAAACCAACGTAAAGATGGGGAACATATAATTTAATCTCTAATTTGGTTTTTGAAATTTCAGGGACGATTTTAGAGATTACGCGGATGTTTGCTTCAAGGCATTTGGCGACCGAATCAAACATTGGGTGACTATAAACGAGCCGAGGACGCTGATACTAGGCGGGTACGAGGTCGGCGATATGGCCCCGGGACACTGCACCAGCGTTTCCAACTGGACTTGCGACGCCGGAAATTCCTCGAAGGAGCCCTACATTGTGGCCCACAACCAGCTCCTTGCTCATGCAGCTGCCGTCCAGTTGTACCGCCGGAAATATCAGGTTATTTAAACAAATTCGGATTATATAGGTGCTGGCTATCTATTTTCTCCAGAGATTAGAGTGGAGCGTTAATGAGTGGTTTATGATTTATAATTGAATATTTTTAATTTGGTTCACATCGAATCGAATCGGATCGAATACAATCTGTTTTGATTTGATTTTAGATTTTTGGTCATATGAATTATTTTAAATATGAAGAAAAAATGAATCGAAATTGAATTTGGACCGGACCGAATCGAACCAAATATGCTTTTGGTCCGGTTCTGTTCCTCAAGTTTCCATTGTTTTTCTTTTTTTTTTTTTTTTTTTGTCTGATCATATCTCAATTTGATTCGGTTGTGGACCGAATCAACCGATGCCCAGCCTGCTCTCAACTAGGGCTGAAAATTGGTCCGACATTTCTGACCCTGTACTGACCCGCCTCTGAAGGGCCAAGATGTATAACTGACCCGCCTCGCCCCTGTTTCTTTCATAATCCTGTTGACCCTTTAGGGTCGGGCGGGTCAGGTCGGATCGGGGAAGATCGGGGTGGGTTAGTGGGTCGACCCTAATAGATACACTACTTTTCTAACAATTACAATTTGGTAACCAAACTTATTTTTTCTTACATTTTAGTAACCAAATTTTTTTTAGGAAATAAGTCCCAAAAATTTGATGGTAAAATTACGTTTTCGTACCCAAAATTATTTCTTTTAACAATTTAGTACCTAAAATATTAAAACTTTACAAATAGGTCCATCGTGTTTGTATGATGCTAAGGGTCTTAGGATCAAAAAGTAACCCGACCCGACCCTAAGCTGACCCTGTGGACAAACTGACACAGCCTGACCCTTAGGGCCGGGGCGGTTCAGTGGGTTTTAAGGGTCAAACTTACACCCATACTCGAGTTATTGGGAACAATTGGTTCTTGACTTGGTATCCTAGCTTTATGTAATCATGAGATCTTTTGTTCGAATCATGACTACCCGATTTATTAAACGCATGATATTCAGACTTTTGCAAACTTAACTCCATATATGATGGCTTTCAATTAAATGGATATGTTAACGAGTAGTATGTGTTTAACCTATTACAACAGCACAATAGTTTAATTGATTAAGTGTATGCATATATAGGCAACTCAGAAAGGCATCATCGGAATATCAATGAATGCGGACTGGATCATCCCATACAGCTCGAGCAAGGGCGACATTCAAGCAGCCAAAAGAGCCATTGATTTCACTTTTGGGTGGTAAGTCGCTGCTTTGGACCAATTTGAGAAACGTCTGTTTCATATTTTTGCTTTGATTTGAGTTAACTAAACGTGGTTAACGATGGTATATATATGTGACATGCGTCTTTCTAGGTTTATGGATCCAATATACAAAGGCGATTATCCCGAGAACATGAAGCGATATGTTGGGGATAGACTACCGAGATTTTCGAAACAAGAATCGATAATGCTGAAAGGGTCATACGACTTTTTGGGGATCAACTATTACACTACCCAATATGCGCTTGATCGGATTGACTACAGCGATCCTCGTCACCCAAATGGCTACGATACTCATGTCCAACTTTCTTGTAAGTTCAAATTGCCAACTCTCTCTATGGTACTTATCATTTAATTCTACACAGTGGATTTCTTGGACCTCTATTCATAAAAAGAATAAGTTCATTAGTTCATTAATTATAGCAAAAACCTAAGTGATATTTAGCAAACCCTTTCACCCTTAATTTTTTGGACAATGTCTATTTTTTACCCAAATCTTTTCAAAATTCTTTTATTTTACTCAAACCTATCAAAATTCTATTTATTATCCAAACTTACTATAACTGATCAAAGTCTGGGTGTTCGTTCTGTCACTGTTACTTATTTCGTGACGGAACTCCACGTATGCATCCATGTCAGCGTCCACTCAGAAATGAAAAAAAAAATCTCTTATATCACTAAAGACAATAATTAGAAATTTAAAAACTCCAGTAACTCTGCAACTCCATCGCTTCTTCTTCCTCTATTCTCCGCCTCCGCATCCGCCTCCACACCACAAAACCTATTTCCATTAAACCAACCCAAATGCCCAACCCCACACGTCGTCGCCCTCGCCCGCTGCCGCCCAAGCTCGCTGTCGAAACTAAGAAGGACATCGACGCCATCGCCCGCCGTCGAAACTGGAAATCCAGATCTATGAATCGGAAGAACAAAAAATCAAAAGATGGGTTTTGGGGAATTGAGTTCGATGATGGCTTGGGCGCCGGAAGGGAGCAGATATCGTGAAGATTGCTTGGACTGACGCTGGTGCTGGTGCAGGAGGATTGGAGGAAGATGAAGAGGAGCCGGCAGCCTTCTCTGATTGGGCTTCCGATTCCAACAACGGCGACGTGGGGTTTCCCCATATGCCCCAGCAACGACAACGGCGGCTAAATCGATGAGAAAGAGGGCGGGTGGAGTGTTCACTGCAACTGCCAACTGGAGATGGTTGCGAAGAAAGAGATCGGAGGAGTGGGTAGGAGTGAGAGGCGGAGGGGGAAGTAGCGAGGGGGGAGGGGAGAAGACGTGAGGGGTGGGATCCTTTTTTTATTTTTTATTTTTATTAATTTTTTATAATTTTTTTATAAACATAGTAAATGATAGTATTCTGCCTGCCACGTGGGAAGCCAACTCATCATGGTCATGCTTGGTCAGCATTATTAACAGAAAAGTTGACGGAGAGTTAACGTTTGGATAATTATTAGGAATTCAATAAATTTGGATAAATTAAAAGAATTTTGAAAAGATTTGGGTAAAAAATAAACATTGCCCTAGTTTTTTTAAACATGACTTTTAGCAAAGGCTTCCCATCGTGAATGGAAGCTCTGCACCTAAGGAAGGCTGGTTACAGCTATACTGAAACGTCTTTTATCAACTGATAGTTAAGCTCTGATTAGTAGTGTCTTTTGGTCCCTTCAATTTAAAAATACATATCTTGAAATATATTTATTTCTTGACGGTTATATTAATATAACTTTAACGAAAAAAATTAGTCATTTGTTACAAAATAGGTAACACTCTAGTGTTCTTTCTTTAACTGTTGAATTGAAAAACGACGAATACTCATCGAATCGTTCGAATATTTTCCGTCTTTCATAAGCATTTCCAGGGAGGCTTTGTACCATCTACATTTATGAAATTTGTCAATAGCTTTTCCTAAAGCTGATCCTTTTTAATTTATCTTAATTAATGCAGTTGTAAGAAATGGACAAATAATTGGCCCTCAGGTGAGTATACATTATTTATTCCCCCTTTTGTCATATTTTATTTATTTTATGTTGTCAATATATTTTAGAGGAATTTAATGTAGTTATGCACTTCACTGTTATAGACCGTTACACTCTGGATGACCATATATCCTAGAGGACTTTATAACCTTTTACTCTACATAAAAGACACATACCAGAATCCTCTTGTCTACATTACAGAAAATGGTGGGTGATTCTCACTTCTGATTAAAACATATTCTATATAAGTTAAATTCAAGCATAATAAATACTCTTGGCTAATTGATCCAAAATGAAATTGATCGATATGGATGTCGAACAAATTTCATAGGACTACCCGATTCGGGAAACTACACACATTCTCCACTTGAAGCACCACCGGATGACGAGTCAAGAATTTCGTATCTCAGAGATCATCTCATATCTCTCAGAAGAGCCATGAGGTAAATTCGATAAAACTAGTGAATGTGAATTCAGAAACCACCATCTTCTTGATGAAAATGAGCCTCCCTTTCCAACAAGAGCTAGCTAGCGATAATTAACGAAATTCACCTTCGTAATGACAATTGTGGTTGCAGAAAGGGAGCCAATGTGAAGGGCTATATGGTGTGGTCGCTACTCGATGGATTCGAGTGGACCGGTGGCTACGAATGGAAATTCGGATTGTACTATGTTGATCATTTCAAAGCCCCTTGGATCAGAATCCCTAAGATGTCTGCAATTTGGTTTAGGAAGTTCCTTAAACGAATTAGTTAGTTGTTAATATGCATGTATGGATGCATTGCGCATTTGTACGGTAGAAACTAGAAAGGCACTCACTATTGTCGTGCGTTGAAATTCTTGGAAACCCAAGGATGAGAAACATATGCATCCAATATGAAGAAATTGTACTTTTTGCTTGTGCTTATCTGTCTTTTTTCAACGACATTCATATTCAGCTATACATATTTTTCCAGGATACCTTAACAGAGATCAAAGTAAAATTCCTTTATATTGATGAACGTATACGCAATGTATAGTTTTACCATTTATACTATGTACAGTAAAACTATTCAGGATACCTTAACAGAGATCAAAGTAAAATCATGAGTAATATTAGAAAGAGCTCTTAACTATTAAAAGGACGGGTAAAAAACGAGATGGAATACACAACCCGTCTTCAGATGGTACACATTCAAAGAGAGTTTAAACAAATCAGAGTGAACAAGTAAAGTCGAAATTGTAGCCCTTCTCTCATCTTTTTCTGTCCCAAGTAGGATAGTCGTAATAAGAGCAAAAGATACAGAGCATACAAAGTGGCTTATTAAGAGTCATGGTAACTAACAAACATTTAGTTCCTTCCCCAAACTAACCCGATTCTGAGCTTTCGCTCTAACATTCAGAACCCAAAATGACAAATGTATAACTCCAACAGAAGGGTGACAAAAACAAAATTCACACCAATACTTTTCTTGGCTGCCATGATTGTGGCATCCAGCTTCAGTCAGCTGCTATAACCAAACATCGACCAAGGGACTAAGCAAAATTGGCTGCGAAAATGGGCATAGAAATATTCCTCTGGCTAAGCTACTTCAACTATAAGAATAGAACCTAACTGGGGAATAAGAATGTCTGGATTCTTCACCAGGACGTCTCTCAGAGCAAGTACTTTTCGACCACTGTCCGGCCAAACTTCTCTTCGACATCCTTTGGAGTTTCAATCTGTAGCAGAATTGAACAGTTATGGAAAGTAAATGTCAATGAGGCAGAAGAAGAAGAAGAAGAAGAAGAAGAAGAAGAAGAAGAAGAAGAAGAAAACTCTGGAAAACAGGCTCCATGAGCTCATAGCAAGAGTTGGCAACTTACTGCATTCAGGGCTTTGAACAGAGCTTTCACAGTGTTGTGAGGATTCCGCGAGCCAACAACCTGACAGGGAAAAAGAAAAATATGATGATGGCAGGTCTGATGGGTTACAGGAGAGCTTATGGGTAACCAATTCCAGTTAACCAGAAGATGAACCAGGTTAGATGGTAACCAGTAAGCGTCCTAATACAAATAATTTTTGTTTTGTGACTTGGTACTCCTGTTACAGGCCAGAAGCCATAATGTAACATCAAACCCATGAACTAACTCAAATTTTTAACTAAATCATCGAAAACAAGGGGGAAACTATATTTCAGCAAATGTACCCAAAAAGAACATGAAAAACCAGCCGATAACAGTCATTAGCTTGGTTCGATTACCAGTTAAACATTGTTATTAACGATACGGTTGCCTATTGGCTTAACAACTACAATTAAGGTTTCAGTTATTAACGTTTTAACAGTTTGTTGGTTTTTCTAATTTGAGATCCTTGAACAACAAGCCAGTGCTAGAACAATATTTACCTTGGATTTGACATTCTTGAAACCAGCCAGATTCAGAATTGTTTGGACAGTTTTCCCTGCTTTCATACCTGTTCTAGTTGGCGCTGGCCAGAGGTAGACCTACAGAAATAAATGAATAATTCAGGGCACCAAATAGGCAAGAGGAGAAAAATATGTGAGAAGTAGTGTTTATACTTTATACCTTGGTCTTTTTATATTCAGTTTGTATGGTATGTGCGATTGTGTGCTCCTCATGTCGTTCTATGTAGTGGAGATTCTGAAAACATTTCTCATATGCCTGCTCATCAAATCCAAAAGGGGGACATTAGTACTGATCATTTGCTATAAACATGCAAATCTAGAATAAGCATATGCTAATGAAAACCAAATTGACTTGCACAGAAAGGAAAACTCAAATATGGCTTCCTCTTCTCAACATAGAATAGGCTAACTAAGACTAGTCTTAGACCAGAGAAGCTCAAAACCACAACAAAATTACCTTCTGGAGAGCAATAGGGATGGCAGGGCCTTTGGCTTTAGCAAACCCAACAACGCCATGATAGTTCCCACAAGCTAATATAGCAGTGTACTTGACAACTTGCCCACCCTTGCAGAAGATACACAAAGAGTATAGAAAATCATAGTTCTTAAACCAATTGCAACGAAAAAAAACCCCAGTAGCAAGTTCACAATACCTTTGTAACTTTACAAGTTCGATTCACATCGATCAACTTCACATCAAAACCCTGTCAGTATTTCATAAAGTTTGGTTAACACATTTATAATATCATTGTCACACACAAAGAGCATCACAAAAGGCGCCTTAAGAAGAAAGAAGTACAAGGTGAGTTCCCGTTTCCTCAAGAGTAAGAGCAAACAGTCAAGTGCATATCGTAGCCACTGACATCATTTAATCATGTACATGAGTAATTGATGCCACAAAGAAGCATATCTGCTCATTAATATTACGTATATACTTCTCCATCACAACATTGTGGTGCATCCTCAAAGGAATCACATGCTACTTTTGCTACTTACTGATCGCAAAAAGATCGGAGAGATGATTTATTCAAATGAATGGTAATATATTTTCAAGCCAGTATCCAAAGTCTAACTCACAACAAAGAGTTCAGCACGAAACTGTATCATCATTGTATTAAAGAAGAATGGTTAAACAAAAGCAGACACTAAATGTCAATTGTTTGCTCATTAGCAGAATCGTTACTCAGTTACACTTGGTGGAACAACTGCCCACCAGCAACTGTGTAGACCTTAGTTGACAATCTTTTGGACATTTTAGTGGAGACGAGAAAGATAGACGTACCTTTCTATACATTGGTTTCCTTTTCTTTTCTGTCAGGGCATTTCTCTCCACAGCAAGATCTCTGATCTCTTCCTCAAGAGCCTTGCCTCTCTTTCCAAATGTATAATCCAACTCGGCGAGTTTCTCTTCAAGTGTCTTATCAAGATCATTCAGCTTCTCTAATAGTATATCATCTCTTTCCTTCATGTCATCAAACTCTTCTTCCTCATCACTATCTTGGACTGTTTGCTTCTCATCCTTCTCATCCTCGCCGTCAGCATTTTCAATGAGATCGACATTAGAACCCACTTGAGAATGTTGGATAACTCCAAAATTAGCTGGATCATTAGGATCATAAGCTTCCTTCCAATTCACCATCCTCAAAGCCCTGTTGATCTTCTGTTGCAGGATGAATTTTTCCTTGCCTTCGGCTACCTTCAGACGATTCATCAACTCACCAATGACCCGATACTCTGGCCGAAGCCTGAAATGCTTTTGCTCAAACTTGTCAATTCTACTCATCCATTTGTACGCCTCGTCAAGTGTCTCTGCAATGACAAATAGAGAGACAAAACGCATTACCTCCTTTGCCAAATAAAGTAATATAGACCAACTCTCTTTCTGTCATTCACTACATACCACTCTCAGTGAAATTGTCAAGCAACTCTTTATGCCGCTGGTGCTTCTTCTGAAACTGTTCAAACCTTTTCCGGATAGCATCTGGTGCAAACCTTTCATCGTCTTCGTCGTTCTCTGAATCAGAAGGCTCCTCATACATATTCAGCTTGTCACCAACTTCTTTCAGCTTCTCCTTCTCTAACTTCTCAATCAGAGGCCCAACTCCCATGTAATCCTCCTCATCTTCTGCATCTAGATCTTTAGTATCCAACCCTGCACGCTTCCTGGCCTCCTTTTCCCTTTGTTTCTCACGCTCTACTTCTACCAGAATTTCCTGCACATCACGGGATGTTGCAGCAGCTGATGTCGAGTAGCCGCTTCCAGAGTAGGAGAATGAGGGTTTTGGGGTGATGCAAAATCGTTGAGAAGATTCTATATTGGGGCGAAACTGAGGGTTTGGAACTCTTCTCAGAGTTTTTATGTAACGATGGAAAAGGGTACGAGTACCATGCATCTTGCTGGAGGTACACAGACAGATACTTACTCGAGAGAGAAAAACAGACTAAATTAGCGAAGATCACAGGGTTCCTTGATCCCCAGAAATGATCAAGGAGTTCATTGAGTGTCTCCTTCCATTCAACTCTTGGCTTTGCTTCTATAGTGCACTCTGCAGCAAAAGCTCACACAAAATTAGAACTAGAAGGCTCTGAAGAAAAAGTTGTCTTCAAATTAACTAGACCTAACACAAATCTGAAAGAGCCTCCTAAAAAATCCGCCTACTCAAAACAACCCACGCTTCACAAATATCAACCGAATGCACAAAGAACATCAATCCCTAACTCTCAAACTTCTTCAAACGCACAATTATTTTCCAAATGAATGCAGCAGTAGAAATTGGAAAGCAGTACAGAGTGAGAGAAACCCAATGGAGCTCACCAAAATATGGGAAGAAAGCGGTCGATCGAGGACGGAACCGATGTCCGGGATGATGATTGATGAGGGGTTCGAAAGATGAGCCTCTGCGGAGCGAGCGCTGGCCGAGATGAGCGTCACAGAGGTGAGTGCTGGTCGATTAAGTGCGCTGGCCGGGGAAGAGCGACAACGAGGTGCTCGGCGGAGGGAAGGGTTTAGTGAGGAATTAAGAAGATGGGAGGGTTTCCGGCGTTTTTTGTTTTATCCATATAATTATTTTTTCAAATATTCAATGGGTAACTGACAAAAATGGTCACGTAGAAAACGATAAACGAAAGAACACGAGACACTGATTTACGTGGTTTCCCTGTTTGGTATGAACGGGACTAGTCCACGAAAAGCGTGAGCTCTTAGGTTTATTATTGGTAGCCTCGTTGGTTGCTGGGATAGCCGACGAATATACCAGCTCGCCCCCGCAGAGCAAACTTGTCCAATCCATGGTGATTGTCGTGAGCAAATGCCAAGCAACCGAAACTGCGCAAATGTTGATAAGAAAGGGCCTTGCCGAACATGACCTGATATGGAGAACGGTTTCCAATCGGAGAAAGAGGCATTCGGTTTAGCAAATAAGTTGCAGTGAGAACACATTCACCCTAGAATGTATGTGGGAGATTGGCATGAAGTCATAAAGCACGAGCAGTGTCTAGGAGATGTCGATGCTTGCGTTCGGAACCTCTGTTCTGTTGAGGAGTATCTGTGCACGAAGTTTGCAGGACAATACCAGTCTCCTCATAGTATTTCCGTAGGTCCAAGGTAGCAAATTCAGGTTCATTGTCAGCCTGAATCCTCCGCACCTGCTTACGATATTGTGCGTGCACCATGTTGCAGAAAAAGAGTAAATAACATGCGACCTCAACTTTAAATTTCAACAAGAATACCAACACTGCTTGACAAAAATCATCAACCAGTGTCAAGAAATAACGAGCACCAGAAAAGGAGGGAACCTGATTTCCTCCCCAAATATCAACATGAATGAGTTCAAAACACTCCTGAGTAGTAATCGAGCTAGAAGCAAAAGGGTCTCGAGCTTGCTTAGCTCGCAAACATGAATGACAAGAGTCTTGTTTCTGAATAATGGGACTTGAAATAAAATGCTGAAGAATGGACAACTTCCCAGCAGAAGGATGTCCTAAACGTGAATGCCACAACACCGAATTGTCAGCATCTTGACGAACTGAATGTGCCACCGGATGCCGCCCATCAAACAACTGCAGATAATATAATCCATCGACGTGCTTACCCATCCCAATCAGCCTCTTGGTGGGTAATTCCCGAAGAACACAAATCATTCAAGAAAATCAACGCGATCAAGAGATCAGCTGTGAGCCGACTAACAAAGAGTAAATTGCACTGAAATTCTGGAACATGAAGAACTCGACGAAGCAACAAATCACTCGATAGCTGAGCCAGCTGTGAGCCGACTAACAAAGAGTAAATTGCACTGAAATTCTGGAACATGAAGAACTCGACGAATCAACAAATCACTCGATAGCTGAGCCGAGCCAATACCCTGTACCGACACACCTGTGTCATTTGGAATTCGAACGTGTAACGATGGTGGTTTCTCCAGCTCATCAAGTAATAAAGACTTATTATTAACGATATGCTCGTTACAACCAGAATCTATAACCCAAGCATGACTAGGACTTAGACTCGTACCTGTCATGTTGGATATGGGATCATGAGGACTCGCTGCACTCGTCAGGGAGTCGGGGCCAAGAAGTGAACGCAGCTGAGAGAATTGGGCTGCCGTGAGACCCGGGATGGGGATGTGCTCCACGTCCACCGCCGCAGCTTGAGGGGAGGGTCGCTGTCGTGATTCGCCACGGTCAGGTCTACGACGTTGTTGCTGATCAAAGCCACCCGAATTGCGAGACGAGGAGCCCTCTCCGCTTCCAGGGATGCGGGGTGGATAGCCATTTATTTTGTAGCAAGTATCTCTGAAATGGCCCGATTTGTGACAATAGGTGTAGTAGGGACGTCCCTCTACATCTCGCTCCCCTTGCTTCACAGCCCGATCTGGCTTCTTCTCGCCTTGCGCTTGGAAGACTGTGCCTAAACTCGAGGACCCCTATTACTGGATATTTGACGATGGTGCTCGTTACTACTCACATAATGGTAAGCTTTGGCTAGACTCGGAATTGGTTTCACAATGAGAATTTGGGTCCTGATTGTATTGAATGGGTCATCTAAACCCATGAGAAAATCAAAGAGCCTTTCACTCTCCTTGGCCTCCCGCTGCCTGCGTTTGACATCGCAGGTGCAACAGCCACAAGTGCACTCCAAGGATGGCGCAAGAGAAGTGATTTCGTCCCATAAACCGCGAAGTTTGTGTAGAACGTGGCGACATAAACCTTTTCTTATTTTATAAGGCTAATAGTTTTCCGCAACTCATACATCCGTGGCACACTCAAATCCCCAAAACATGATTGAAGATCAACCCAGATATCACGGGTTGTTTTATAGAAGCGAACACTACTCCTCACATCCTTGGACATGGACGTCTTGAGCCACCCCTTGACCATGGGTCGCATGGTTTCCAAGCATCGTATTCGGCGCCGCCATCAGTAGGTGCCGATATGGTTCCGTCCACGAAGCCAAGCTTGTTCTTGGCTATGAAAGAATCGGTTATGTCGCCCAACCATTCGTCGTAGTTCTACTCCGTGAGTAGCTCCCCCACGAACAATTGGTTGGGACTGTCATATTGGTGAATCAGAAAAGGAGACGGCTTTGGAGGCAAGCCTGGAGACAAGCCGATGCCGTCGCTAGAGCTACTCTTCGTAGCGATGCTGAATGCTTCTTCGGTTTTGCCACTCATGATTGGAAACGCTGTAGGATCAATCACAGCTCTGATACCATGTAGAAAATGATAAAAGCGAGAACACGAGACACCGATTTACGTGGTTTCCCCGTTCGATATGAACGGGATTAGTCCACGAAGAGCGTGAGCTCTTAGGTTTATTATTGATGATGATGATGATTATGGTTGGGCTGAGGCTTTACCCTAATATATATAACAAAACCATTCTCACACAAAAGATGTACGTGAGATATGGCAAATATACAAACTGGTCCCTCAACTTACTAGCAACTACAACTAAGTAAGGAGGATGGACCGTAATAGGTCACTTACCTTTGAGACTATACCAAAATAACGGGGTATTTTTTTAGTCTCATAAAACGGTCCCTAATTCTTAAAACAAAATGGTCAAATATTCGAAGTTTTGTTCTGTACCACTGTAGCCCGTGGCGGATCTAGGGGTGGGCTTCTTTGGACCACGGCCTAGTCCTCCTCTACTTGAGAGTTAGTATAACAAACGAGACATGCTTGCTTCTAGCCTTTTTTGTCTCTTTCGGCCTAGTGCTAGTTGGGTAAATGTCACATTTGGTCGCTAAGATTACTAAATCATGCAATGTTTAGTCATTAGAAAATATTAATAACAATTTTGGTCACTCGAATTACTGAAACATGTCACATTTAGTCACTCTCCCGTTAGTTTCCGTCCAACTCCGTTAATGGAGTTGGACGAAAACTAAAAAAGAGTGACTAAATGTGGTATGTTTCAGTAATTCGAGTGACATTCATAAATAAAAAAAGTAATTCGAGTGACTGGAGTTGGACGGAGGCGAACGGGAGAGTGACTAAATGTGACCTGTTTTAGACTTTTAGTAATTTGAGTGACCAAAATTGATATTATGTTTTTCTAATAACTAAACATAACGCGATTTAGTAAACCCAATAACCAATGTGGCATTTACCCAGTGCTAGTTGGTATCTAATTTTTTATTCAAATGTGGCATAGTGTTCTATTATGTTCTGGATTAACCGCTGACTGTACCAGTACTTTTTTTACAATACTGTGTAGACGTTCTGTGAATGTGTTTTTGGAGGAAAATATGATTTTTCGATGGGGTGTAGTTTGATGAATGTTCGGATTGCACTTTGATTAGATCATAATTTCAATACAAAATATCCAATTAACTTTTTCAGTACGAACTCTCATACAGTTCCGCAATCCTTGTCTGTTGAGAAAATCTGGATTTCCAAATGACAAGAGATGGACATGGACGAATGGGAGGGAGAAGTTGCAATGAAGGAGAGAACAGGGAGAAAATTTTGTTCGTTTTATTCATCATCATCATAGATAAATACCAGGTGAAAATAAGATTTTGATGAACAAGATGTAGCATACCAGTTTTTATCATCATAGATAAATACCAGGTGAAAATAAGATTTTAGCCTTATAATTGAACTTTGATTAGATCATAATTTCAACACAAAATATCTTACTGACTGTTTCAGTACGAACTCTCATACAGTTCCGCAATCCTTGTCTGTTGAGAAAATCTAGATTTCCAGATGACGAGATGGACATGGACGAATGGGAGGGAGAAGTTGCAATGGAGAGAACAGGGAGAAAATTTTGTTCGTTTTATTCATCATCATAGATAAATACCAGGTGAAAATAAGATTTTGGTGAACAAGAGGTAGCATACCAGTTTTTATCTCAAACATCTGCATCTTATCAAAAGAAAAAAGAGCACCATGAACTTAGAGAAGCATTCAACAACGCCGATGATCCGGTTGAAGCTAAAACTTCAGTTACAGCCATTATTCCCAACCATCACCACATTCAAAAGAAGAAAAGTTTGTGCAACAGTACAAGTCCCTCAAGCGTGCCCCGCGTAGTAAGCTATCGATCTTGATCACCGAGCTCCTCTTGCAGATTGTTATATGGGTATACTTTTGGTGCCTGGCCACAGAAAACAAGGACAAAAGCCATGAGTAATAGTGTGAGGGTACCGCACAAAGGGTTTATAGTCCATGTAGCAAAAACATTCCAATGGTAGTGACTGCACTACAAGTCGAGTAAAACTGAGAAAAGGGGAAGAACAAGTCTGACGAAGACACTTGACCATCCGTCCAGTCGTGGACACAGTTAAGCCACTTGACTGGGCATTTTAGACAGATATGGAAATTCAGAATCGGGTTTCCAGAGCACCGGAAACCCATCCTGAAGAATATAATTCATTGCTTAAACCAAAGAAGCAATAAGAATGGGTCCTTCTGTACATCGGGAATATGAAGCTTAGAAAATCCCTCCTTGTGTCCTGTACATAGCACATTACTGAAGACTTGAGCAACATTTGAACTGAGCTGGTTAGGATTGCTATTCTTATCACACTGGTTATGATTGCTATTGTTATCATGTAATTCATAATGCCTTGTACTCAGCTGTATTAAGTTTTGAGCCGACACAACGTATTTGACATACATACATAGATGCCTCTGCAGACATCCTCAACAAACACCCATTATGCTTCTAGAAGTGAATGTCTCCCTGATGAGAGCCATGCCATTGTAACTTGGTTGCTATTTGGTCACTACATTTATGATTACTGATTGCTCTAATAGCTATGATGATTCAGTCCCATATGAGGTTCCACATTCTCAACTGACCTCCACATCATAAAGTAGACTGATTTTTACCATTGCATAAACCTCAACACTCAGAGCCACAATTTAGTTGCCTCATTGAACACTACATTTATTGAAACTGCTTGCTAGCATTAACTGAGATGCTTAAATTTGGTTTGGGCTCTCGCATTCCCTACTGATATCCATGTTACAACAACTAGGTTCATTCTTTACATTGGATACACCAAAAAGAAGGGGGGAAAACAAGAGATATTGCATACCGCTATCTATATGTATGGCTTTATAATACTTCTTACTGCACTAATCGGATAGAAACAGCACATATCAATGTAATGGATAAACAAGAGGGGCCCCAGATTAGATCCCAAAGCTCTAGAACCAGTTTCTATCTCATCTATAAATTAACAGCGTTGGAAATATAACTGCAGCTTACCGAAACACATTTCCATGGATACAGCGAACATGAATAAATCAGGCGGGGAAAAAAAACATAACCAGGTGTTGGCCAAAATCTCTGTTCTTTTATAAGTTCAATCATCAAATGCTTATCAAATTCAAATCAAAACACAACGAAATCGGCCAGCAATGGAGCATTTCATCACCCTCAAGTTCAAGCTGCATAAAGTAAGTACACTCACACTATGGATGTGGACAATTAAACCAGCAACAAATTCAAAATTCATGATGATACCAATTACTAAGGAGAAATGTATAGAACCAAGCATATGAGAAATGTTTAGAACCAAGCATATCACGACTTACAAAGGGTATCTTGGATGCTTTGTCATTCCACACAGCCAATAACCCCAATGACGCGAAGAAGCTCAAACCTCCACATAACCAAGCCAAAGCTTCATACTGTCATCAACAACCAAATGGAGTTCAGAAGCAAATCATACAATGAAGCGAAAACACAAATTGAAGTCGTGAACCGAAACGTTTACCTTTCCAACAGTATCGGCAATTCGATCGATACAAGGCTCCGGAAGGTTGGTACCGTTGTCCCAAACCAATTCGTCATTTACCGCCAGCTGGAATCGCACAAACAACAATGAAATGCACAATCAATCGTATTTAGGGATTCGAGGAATCGCGAAGAAATGGGGGAGAGAGAGGGGAAGGCGGGAGGTGGTTACTGACTGGTTTGTTGGGGACGATGTGTCTGCCGACGGGGAGTCCCATCCCGGCGCGGCCGCGGAGGGAGGCGGCGGCGGACCGCATCACGACGCCGTTCCCTCCCATGATCCGTGAAGCAACGTTGCTCAATCTTCCTGCCATTTTTCCTCGAGTGTTTCCGTCAATCTGCCTGGTTCTTGATTTTGCTGTGTGTTGAATTGATGACTGAGATGGAATTGATATTGGTTCGCAACAGTAAACGATGTCGTTCGCAATGCTAAAGAGTAAAGAGTGAAGAAAGGAATTACCGAATTAAGCTCGTGGTCGTGGAGGAGTGTAAATGGATCTCGTGATTCGGATTTAGTTGTTTTAATCACTTGATCTACATCATGGTTGTCATATCGGTGGTATGTCATCCGGTTGAATCTGGTTCAACTTGTTCCGGTCTTGAAACCGGCATGACACCAGCGGTATAACCGGTATGATCGACTTATGCATTCTAAACAAAATAATATCATTTTAATGAATTTAACTAATACAAAAATTAATTTATTATTCATTTATGAATTTAATATTTAAAAGTTGATGATATTTGTTGGATTGTAACTAAATTGTCCACAAATATGTTTTATATATAATTAAATATATTAAATAGGGATTCTTCTCTTCTTTTCTCTCTCCTCTTTTCTCTCTTCTCTGAGTGCTCGCAAAATTAGGTCGATGGCCGCCGTCGCTAGGGCTGGGCATGCGGGCGGATCATCCGCGGGTTTGGGCCGACCCACCCGCATTTGACCCGAATTTCGTCAAGTGGGTGGGTCTATGGGTGGGTGACGGGTTGCGCTAGGAGCCATCCGCCGGGTGGTGGGTGGGTTGTGGGTGGGTGCGCGGGTGACCCGCTCAACCCAACAGCAAAAAGATCAAAGTCGTCGGCGCTAGAGAGGGGAGAGTGGAGACGTTAGACATAAACTAGGACTGCTCCTGGAGTTTGAACCTCAAAGCCAACCTTCCAAATAGCGATCCCCTCTTCTTCCCTTTATTTTTTCCTCTAATTCTTGTGCCTAGATCACTGTTCTTTCCTTTGTGGAATTATTTTTCTTAGTTCCTTGCACCTGATAATCATCTCAATCTGTAGAAAACTCTTTCATAATAGAATTTCTATCCATTTTAAGAACTAATTCGACATTTTTCGCCCTATTTCATCTTCTTGTTTCCCCTGATAACTCTCTTCGCCTATTATCATGTCAAGTTGACTCCTTTATATTATATACATTTGTGATGTGGGTGAACCCACAAACCCACCCAAATCATCCACCATCCGCCCAACCCAACCCGAGACTAAATGTGGGTGGGTGGTGGGTTAAAAATTATCAATCCGTTTAAGCGCGGGTGGGTGCATTTTATGGTCAAAATCCACCCGACCCACCCAATGCCCACCCCTAGCCATCGCCGACGGAACCTCCCAGGGCGCCGTCAGTGGCGGCAGGTCCTGGGCGTCCTTGTTCCACGTTGCTGAAGAGAATCGGTTGGAATACTATGAGCCTGAATTCATCAATGGATCTTTACGAATCCCTAAGTCGGTGATTGAAGAGGGAGCGAAGCATTGGGATAATAGCTTGGTTGGGCAGTTTCTTGTCGATCCCCCTTCAATCTCGGCACTCCGCTTCTGGGCTAACTGGATATGGGGTAAGGAAGGTGCAGTGAAGGACTCTATGCTGGAGGACAGGCTGGTGCTCTTTCAGTTTCCCTCCGAATCAACTTGTCGGTGGGTATTCGAAGGAGGCCCATGGCATTACAAGGAGAAAATTATCTGTCTGAGGCGTTGGGTTCCGGGAATCAGAGCGCTGGAGATAAACAACTCAGCTATTCCAGTGTGGGTCAACTTAACATGTATTCCTGCTGAGCTAGCTTTAAGAGAGGGACTTGCGAGAATCGCGAGTTCAATTGGAAAGCCTATGTGTATGGATCATTCGATTTCCCAGAGGAAGAAGATTGGTGCAGTGAAGGTCTGTGTTGAGGTCAGTACCAAGAAGCCTTTAGTGCACAAGATTAGTATTACCCCTGATGATATGGAAGAGATGTACATTGGGGTTGAATATTGTGGATTACCCCGATGTTGCACTGCCTGTGGTGTCTTTGGCCATGATTGTTTGATGCCCCCCCAGGGAGTTCCAACCAAGAGAGTTTGGAGGCCGAAGCAACCCCAGGTTACTCCATTAGTGGAGGTGATTAGTATTGAGCAAGAAGCGGTTTCTGTGCAGACAGTGGAGGGGGGTGTGTCTGAGAAGGGTAAAGAAGTAGTTGTTGACTCCACACCTCCAGTCACTCCGAGTGCTCTCCCCTCACAGGAAGAATTTAACAAAGTCATTAATGGGGCTAAATCGAAGTCGGCGCCCAGAAAATCCGCACCTATTTTACATTCTAATGCATTTGATCTACTTTGTGGAAGGGACATCAAGTTGCAGGCTCCTCAGAAGAAACAAGGTGGGCGTGAGGGACTCAGGAGTAAGGGAGCCACTAAGGTGGCTGCTCCTCATAAATGACTACTCTCATATGGAATACAAGGGGTTTTAATAGCCCCTTGAAGCACGCTTCTGTGCTTAATTACATCAGAGTTCATAAGGTTTCGCTTTTTGCACTTCTTGAAACTAGAGTACAAAAACAAGATAGTGTAGATGAAATCAGGGAGAAGTTTGTAGGGTATCAATTCACTGATAACTATTCTACGAGTAGGTTAGGAAGGATTTGGATTGGGTGGAGTGATGATATGAAGGTGCAAGTTTTGAAGGAGGATGAGAATTTTATCCATTGTTTAGTGGCTGAACAGAAGGGGTCTCAATTCTTCTTTACTACTGTGTATGGGTCGAATGAAGAAAGGGAGAGGCTACAAACCTATAAAGCTATGGTACAGTGGAAGGTGAGAGGCTTTCCCTGGATGATTGGAGGGGACTTCAATGCAATTCTTTGTCCTGCTGAAGCATCTAACTCAATTCCTCTTACTACAAGCATGACAGATTTTAGGAGCTGGATTGAACAAATGGAGGTAGTAGATCATAAAGCAACGAGGCCTGTCTTTACTTGGGCCAATCAACAGAGACTTAATCCCATTGCCAGAAAACTCGACAGACTGATGGTGAATGAGGACTGGTTTGAACAATTCAGTGGCTGTGTAGTGGAGTTCCTTCCCCCTGATTTCTCTGACCATTGTGGGATCCTAGTCCAGCCACATGTCCCAACCAAAAGCTTCCCCAAACCTTTTAGGTTTTATGATATGTGGTTGGACCATCCCTCTTTCCCTGACATTCTACATAAATGTTGGCACGGATCAGCTCATTCGGGTTTGTTTGGAGTTCGGACAAAGTTGATCTCTCTCAAGGCTGAACCGAGGAAGCTAAATAAAGATGAGTACTCAGATATCTCCAACAGAGTTAAGGAGAAAAGGGAAGCACTTAAGGCTAAGCAACTGCAAGCTTTAGAGCATCCCACAGAAGAGCTGTTTGAAGAGGTGAGTGTGATTACCAAGGATTTCATGCATTTGGCTTCAGCTGAGGAAGCGTTTTATAGGCAGAAATCTCGTATCAGCTGGTTAGGATTGGGAGACACCAATTCCTCTCACTTTCATTCCTCTGTTAAAATTCGAACTGCAAAGAAGCAAATTAGGAAACTTATTGCTTCTAGTGGGGAGGAAATAACAGAGGTACAGGACATTGCAGATGAAGCTATTCTTTTTTATAAGAATCTATTTGGGGTGATCAATCCCGAAGTAATGGTTGACAGCAATTTTGTTGATAGCTGTATTCGAAGTAGATTAACTGTGGAAAATCAAAAGCTCTTGTGTGGTAGAGTTACTGCTGAGGAAGTGAAGTCAGCATTGTTTGAAATGGATCCATCAAAATCTCCAGGGCCGGATGGATGGAATGCTGCTTTCTTTCAAAGATGTTGGGGGTTTGGTAGGGCCAGAAATCATTCAAGGGATACAATATTTCTTTTCTTCGGGGCAACTACCTAGAGGTATGAATTCAGCATCTCTTACTCTCATTCCTAAGAAACCTAATGCAGATAATGTCTCTGCCTATCGTCCCATAGCCTGCATAAATGTCCTCTATAAAATCATTTCCAAAGTGATTGCCAACAGGCTAAAAAAGGTTCTACCTTCTATAATTAGTAAGAATCAATCGGCATTTATTCAGGGGAGAAGCATAGTTGAAAATATTCTCATGGCACAAGAAATTATGTAGAATTACAATAGGAAACACATTACCTCTAGAGGGGCTGTGAAAGTTGACCTCAAAAAGGCCTTTGATTCAGTTAATTGGGAGTTTCTGATGTGTGTGATGGTGTAGATGGGTTTTCCCTCAGTCTTTTGTCACTGGATCAAAACTTGTCTGTCATCAGCCTACTTTAGTATCACAGTTCATGGGAGTCTTTTTGGTTTCTTTCAAGCTGCTAAAGGGGTAAGACAGGGGGATCCAATCTCCCCCTATCTCTTCACTATTGCCATGGAGCCCCTCTCTTGTATGCTGGATAGGGCTGCTGAGAGTCAAGTGCTACCTTTTCACCCTCAGTGTAAGTCAATTGGTCTAACTCACCTTGTCTTCGCGGATGATCTCCTTATATTCACAGAAGGGTCAGCAATGGCCCTTGGTAGAGTAAGGCAACTATTAGATGACTTTTACAAGTTATCAGGGCTTCAGTGCAATCCTGAAAAGTGTGAAGTCTTCTTTGGGGGGCAGGCAAACCAGTTTAAACAGAATGCTATCAAGGTTTCAGGGTTTAAAGAGGGTCACCTGCCTGTGCGTTATTTGGGACTTCCACTGATTTCTGGTAAGCTGACTAGTAGGGAGTGCTCCATTTTAGTTGATAAGCTCACCAGTCGTATTCGAGGATGGAGGGCTAATAAATTGTCATATGCAGGGAAGCTCCAACTTATTGATTCTGTTCTGTACTCAATTGTTAACTACTGGATGGCCATCTTTGTTTTTCCCAAGAGATTGATTAAGGCAATACAGAAGGTATGTACTGATTTCCTGTGGCATGGTGCGGGAACTGGTCGGGCAGGTGGCATGGGAGAGTCTAGCTGTACCTAAGAAGGAAGGAGGTTTAGGGATGAAGGATTTACTCACATGGAATGTTGCCTGTGTCTCTAGGCTACTCTGGCTGCTCCTCTTGCAAGGGGGTAGTTTCTGGGTGGCCTGGGTGTACAAATACAGGATTCGAGGGGAGACTATCTGGTAGGTTAAAAACAACTCTATTGGCTCCTGGAT